TTGAGATGACTCATTTGAACAGTAATTGCTATATTTCGGTGTATATTGAAGGAATATTGATTGTATTGAAGTGTTAACCTAATAAGGGAATATATGGGAGATATATATAGGAGATATAGGAAGGAGTACTAATCCTAATAGGACTAGGATTAAAAAGTACTAATATTAGGACTAGGATTAAGAAGTACTAATCCTAATAGGACTAGTTGGGGTGCCTCCAAGCTTTTCAATATGTTGTTAGCTTTTCAATTATTTTCTTCATTTCTATTTATATATCGTTTTTATTAAAAATAATCTTAATACTTATTATTTACAAAACTAATGCATAAATGACAATACTATTTTACTTTGAAAGTATAAATTTGACCGACAAAGGAAAATTAAATGGTTAATTCATGTTCATTGGTCAATTTAATAAATCAAAATAAATTAATTTATGTTCTTAATAAGAACATTTTATATAATGTTGTTTAGCCTCTGGCTCACCATTTTAGCTCTTCGACAGAACCAAGCCTTCCGCGGCTGAAGAAAGAAAATCCTCAGTCCGGTGATCTATTTAGACATTTAATAGCCCAAATTAGTCTCCACAAGAAATTCTTCTCAATCCCTTTTTGAATCTCCCTGTTCGTTGGACCACTATACATTCAATACTTTCACCATAGTTGCTTACAGAAAAAAATCAACAGAAATTCAGCACAGTTTGTGAGTTTTTTCATAATTTAACAATTGCAGATATCATTTTTTATTCAACATAAATAGGAGGGTACAAACAAACAAACCGAATTTCCTTAAAATTGGAACCTCTAAACATTTCATTTTGAGCAAGAGCGAAAAGACTTTTCCATTCGACACAATTCCCTTGCGACATGAATCATGTAGGGTCTATCATCTCCCTTATCAGCTGTGCATTTCTTAGCAAGGTCCAAATAGTCTTTCAATGGTTGCTCAATCTCAATTCCATGTTCTTCTAAAATGGTAAGATCCACTATATCTAGTACATTATCCTCCCGAACATAACGATCCACGTTGGTTGCATTTTTCACTCTATCTATATAATTTAATGTCGGTACTAATTCTATATCTCTTACTCTAATCATAATATCGTACACGTCCTTTCCAGTTAATAGCTGAAAGAGGAGAATCCCAAAGCTGTAGACATCAGTTTTTTGAGTAATAATTAACTGCTGCTCATATTCTGGAGCTATATACCCGTCTGTTCCACACACACCATTATCTATTACCTCCAATTCCCCTGGAGGTAATGATATGGAGAGTGAGAAGTTCAATATTTTGGCAACGCCGCTCTTGTCATCTATTATGACTTTTGATGGTTTTATATCTCTGTGGATGATAGGCGTAGTAAATTCAGTATGGAGGAAAACGATTGCAGAAGCGACATCACGTGCAACTCGTAATCTATTTCCCCAACATAGCGATTTTCTATTAAGACTAAACTTTTTGAAAAGTAGATCATCGCTAAGAGATATAGCTTCAACATATTCATACACCATAACTGCTTCTTCAAATTCTAGACAGCAACCGATCAGTCTCAGCACATTCTTCAGATGACTCATCTGAGCAGTAACTGCTATATCTCGATGGATATTGAAGAATTTATATCGGTTGAACCTAACTAAAATGGGGCGGTTGTCTAGTGAGCTCGTAACCAAAACCACACCTCGGAGCTCCATTTTGGTTGTAGAGTGTTTTACTGCCTTGTCGATCTCTATGGCAGTGAAGTACCGAATGGGAATTCCATCGCATAAAGCAAGAAGCTCCTGAAGCACACAACTTCCATTCTTTAAACAACAATCATGCTCTTTCTTCCGCCTTACAATAGTTTTTTCCTGAAGAAAGGCATAATTTGAATTGGGATTAGTAGTGTAATCTATGAAAAAAGTAGGAAGCTGCTACCTGTTGGTTTTAATTTGTCATTTGTGCATTGATTCCACACTAATTGAGTTTCCATTGAAAATTTGACACTAGCGCGTACATTAAATTCCACACAAAATGACAACAAGTGGGGTTTCCAAGCACTTTCATATCATCAAGTCCATTACGACACCTTGTCCTCTTTGATATTTTGCTGTTAGTCCACCAAAAGTATTACAAATAATGGTAACAATAATATTTTTAAAGGATAAAAAAAACTAATAAGTAAGGATTTCAGCCTAAGTAACGTGTATCAATCTACCGCCGTCAGCTTTAAAAAAATAAAATATATCCTAAAATGTTAATGTGAAATACGTTTATACTAATTTTGTACAATTTTACAAAAATATATTATTTTAGTAAGTTACTTTATATTCTGGCTTAGTTTTGATCAAAACCTCCAAAATTGGCCATCAGTAGTGCAATTTCTTAGAAATCACACGGTAAAACATTGACATTATTAGTATTCTTTTAAGCCATATTTATATACATTATGTTGAAATTTGACATAAAAATATAATATTAATTTTTTTATTTTGAATTTAAACTTATGTTATATTATCAGTTTCATTTGTTTTAGTAATAATGAGTTGATATTTCACATTGTGAGTCATTTATTTTTAATTAGACTTGATAGATTATCTTTTTTCTCATGATTTTTTTTGTCAAACAAGTATTTTTTTATGTTTGTAGAAATTATCTACTTTTATTTTTTATTATTAGTTTAATTTAATGAAAATTTACTAATTTTAAAAATCTAAATTAAGTTTTTATCATATAAAATAAAAACATATGTTTGTTAATTAACATATTTTAAAAGAATCAAAATATCTTAAATATTTCATTTAAATCATTTATAAATGCCTTCATTTGTCTAATGTAGATATTTAATTTTAAAAATATAATATAACCTTGTGATTAGACTTATGCATATAATTACTCGGTGATAAACAATGAAGTCAGCATAAATTACCAGATAGTTATTTGGAAAGAATTACCTGCAGTGATATTATCTGAATTCTATTACTAAAATTAATTGAATGAGAATGACAAGAACAAAACTAACATGGTCCCATTTCTTTTATAAACCGAAAAAACTGAATTTCCTTGAAATTGGAACCTAATACTATTAATATCTCAAAGAATTAAAATGAACATTTAATTTTGACCCAGGGCAAGGGCAAGGGCATGGCACTTTAACGTGAATTTAATATCGTTTCTTTTGATTCCACTGTATCATACGGGCCTTTCTGGTTAATTAATAGCTGAAAGAGGAGAACCCAAAGCTGTAGATATCAGTTTTTTGAGTAATAATACACTGATGGTAATATTCTGGAGCTATATCCACTCACACCATCATCTAGTAACTCCAATTCCCCTGGAGGTAATGATATGGAGTGTGAGAAGTTCAATATTGTGGCAGTGCCTCTCTATCATCACATTGTGAGGCTTTATACTTCTGTGGATGATGGGCTTAGTAAATTCAGTATGCAGGAAAACAATTTCAGAAGCAACCTCTCGTAATCTATTTCCCCAACATAGCGATTTTCTGTTAAGATTATCCTTTTTGAAAAGTAGATCGAAAAGAGATATAGCTTCAACATATTCATACACCATAACTACTTCTTCAAATTCTAGACAACAACCTACAAGTCTCAACACATTCTTGAGATGACTCATCTGAGCAGAAATGGCTATATTGTTAGGACCGGAAATAAGCAGGCGTAAACGCGGAAGCTAACAAAGTAAATCTCAAAAGACCACGAGTAAGAAGACAACAAGAAATATACCAAAAGACACAAAAATTTGACGTGGTTCAGTTAATCGACCTACATCCACAAAGGAGATAGCAATCCACTAAGAAATAACCTCAACCAATTCACTCGAAATACATGGGAGGTTCACACAAGTGATAGATATCAAACTTGTGACCCATAAATTTTCCCTTCTAATCAAAACTCTCAAAGCCATTAAGACTACATTGTGAATGCTGACTAAGTTAAAAGGAACATGCCTCTATTTATAGAGTTCTGGACCTTTTACTACCAGAAAAAAAATTAGTCAATCCAAAACCTTTTTTTCTAAAAGGAAAACCTCCCCTTGGCCTGAATTTCTGACAAAACATATTTGTCCACCTTCTTCACTTAATCTTCAATAACTTGCTTCTTTTCTCCATGAATATGATGATATCAAAAACAATTTAGTGATATTTAGTTGTTTTTTCACCTATCAAACTAATAGAGCACATTGAATCATAATACATAAAATTTATTTTAGTTTCAAAATTTAAAGAGTCATTGAATTAGAAGAGTCATTTATTATTAAAGTGAAGTTGTTGAACTTCATATTCCATCATAATGTAATTAAAATATTAATATTTAATAAATTAATTAATTTTATTTTTATTTAGTGAAAGGGCAAAATGATAATCCAATTTTAAATATTTGAGCTTCCCACTTATAATAATATATGATATATATTATGTCTCCTTTTTATTATCATAAATATGTTCTTTCAATTGTTTTTTCTCTCAATCAATCTCATTTAACTTGCTATTAAATTTGGAGAAAATTAAAAAATATATAAAGTAATTATATAAATACTCAGTCATGGTCCCATTTCTTTCGGTATACCGAAGTAATCAATCTAAAATAGTGCAAAATAAAGATCAAATTAACACTTTCATTATCTGTGATGTCATTTTTTTCCCAACGGTACAAACAAACTGAATTTCCTTTGAATTGAAACTTAATATAAATAGTTCAGAGAATTCAAATAAACATTTTAATTTATAGGCCTTTACTAACACTCTAAATAAATGTCATTAAAATCTTTAGCGACAGTAGATGTAATGGCATTAGATTAAATGTCGCTAAAGGTTTTTATAGCAATAAAAATTGCCTCTAAAAGAAAAATTAAATACCACTAAAGATCTCTTTCGTTGTAGTGATACCTTCTCTTCTTAGCTAGTTGACTAATTGTGCTAAAAATGTGGTCTATTGTTTCCTCTTTAGCGTTTATGCAATTTATGCATCAGGAATGTGCTGCTTCAATCAACAAATACAAACTAAGGAGAAATCAAACTAAATAGAGCAAAGTAAAGATCAAATTGACAATTCATTGATCTTTTTTGTTTAACATAAATATGAGGCTACAAACAAATTGAATTTCCTTGAAATCGGAACCTAATACGAATACCTCTAAACAGTTAATTCTGACCAAGAGCGAGGGCACGAAAAGACTTTTCCATTCGACACAATTCCCTTGCGACATGAATCATGTAGGGTCTATTATCTCCCTTCAAAGCTGTGCATTTTTTAACAAGATCCAAGTAGTCTTCCAACTGTTGTTGAATATCAATACCATGCTCTTCTAAAATGATAGGGTCCGTTATATCCATTACATTAGCCTCTTTAATATAGTGATCGAGAAGGACGTAAGAGGTTGGAAGATTTTTAAAATCTACTATTGTCTCTTTTGAATTCGTAGAATTACCCGAGTCTTCTCCAAAATGTATTTTCTCTTCTGGTTTTATAGAATCCACTCTGTCAATAATATCGTACACGTCCTTTCCGGTTAATATCAGTAAGAGAAGAATCCCAAAGCTGTAGACATCAGTTTTTTGAGTACTAATACCTGAGGCTAAATTTTCTGGAGCTACATACCCCATTGTTCCACACGCCTGATCTTGTACCTCCAATTCCCCTGGAGGCAGTGATATGGAGAGCGAGAAGTCTACTATTTTGGCAACACCGCAGATCTCATCAATTATCACTTTAGATGACTTTATATTTCTGTGGATGATTGGCGTAGTAAATTCAGTATGGAGGAAAACGACTGCAGAAGCGACATCACGTGCAACTCGTAATCTACTTCCCCAAGACAAGGACGATTTTCTATTAAGATTACCCTTTTTGAAAAGTAGATCGCTAAGAGATATACCTTTAACATATTCATACACGATAACTGGCTCTTCAAACTCTAGACAGCAACCGATTAGTCTCAGCACATTCTTCAGATGACTCATCTGAGCAGTAATCGCTATATCTCGATGGATATTGTAGGTCCATTTATTGAACCTAACTAATACAGGGCGGTTGCCTAGTAATCCCGTAACCATAGACACATCAGCAAGTTCCATTTTGGTTTGAGAGTTTTTTATTGCATTATTGATCTCTATGGCAGAGAAGTAACGGATGGGAACTCTGCAATTTCCGTCGCATAAAGCAAGAAGCTCCTGAAGCACACAACTTCCGTTCTTCAAATAACAGTCCTTCTCTTTCTTCCGCCTTACAGCAGAGAAAAAAAGATTTTTACTGAAGAATGGCATGTCTAATTTGGGATAAATTGGCACATCGCTACTCACCAGTCAGAAGCTGCTATCTTTATTTGTGCATTGAATTCCACACAAATTGAGTTTCCAACAACTTTCATTGTGAATGTAGGTAGCATCAGTGGAAACGCGTCTGCTTTACAAAGTTAAGTCTCCGTTAACCTTTTTTTAAAAGAAAAATAACGCGTGATACCTCTAAGCTTTTGTCCGTTTGTTCTTCTCTTTTCCACTTCTATTGTCCCTTTACAATGTTTTACTTAAAAAATAAATAAAAAAATTGTCCTTTCGGCTTCGGATTAATTTTTGTTCTTTTTTTATTAAAAATAGGCTTACTAGTACTTGTTATTTTACAAAATTAATGCATAAATGATAATACTTCTTATGTTCACTTTTAATTGTCATATTGTGCTTTTCAAAAGTCAATTTGAACTAATTTTCAAAGTTAAATTAGATTGCATAAATAAGATATTTTATGTCATGACCCTTTTGATCGTTTTGAGTACTAAAGTTTTTTATTTCATAAAATACTTTCCAATAGATTTTAAATGAGTATTTTAGACTATTCGTAACTAGAGTTATAAAATTAAAGGGATAAATTAAATAACTAATTTAGTTCGTGGTTAAAGAAAATTGCATCACAATAAATAGATAGTCACTTTTATTAATTAAGCATATAATGATTAGATTAGTAAATAATCTACCATAAAAATCGCACGATCGTAGAGCAAAGAGTGAAAGACGGCCTGAGGTAATTCTTTCACTAGAATTTTTCCAGCATTCTAATTTATATTGTTGGTTGATTACCTTTAAGTGGATTTGTATGTTGAATAGTGAAAATGAATAAAGAATCGAAAGGTACAAGTTGAGGAAAGTAATGATTGGTCAAATTGGGGATGAAAACAAATATTGTTTGAAAGGTTAGGTTGTTGTTATAATTAGGGAAGGTTATATATATATATATATATATATATATATATATATATATATATATATATATATATATAGTAGTAGTAGTAGTAGTAGTAGTAGTAGTA